GAGATTTCTCTTCTCTCTATATACCTGGTTATTTTTCTTGCATATAATCACAAAAATAATGGGCTTTAGGACAGCTTCTTGTATAAGTAAAGTTAATTCTGATATGATTTGCCTGCAGCATATTCCCTACTTGGGCATGTGCCAGTTCCCATTCATAAATCTTAACATCATGTTACCAAATTTGGTCACTATTATGTGGTTAACAGACACTAGTCTGAAAACTCTATACCTACTTTTAAAAAATATATGGAGGAATTAAGTCTTATGAAGTTTTGAAACACTTGATAATTCTTTGATTTACAAAACTTGCAAAACCAGCACTGCAGCTACATTGCATGCAGTATTCACTCTTTGTTTATGCTCTCATTCAGCCAACTTAGTACCATGTATGCATACTGACATTTTCATACAACAAAAATGATTGTAGTTAGTAATGATTAAGCAATGACTAGCTTACATGAGCAGAATGTTTCTGCACAGAGCATATACCAAAATGATCCTGTTTATTTCACTGTGTGTTTGAATGAGAGGGAGAATAAAAAATATTTGTTGAACTGACAACACACTCAGATTCACAGGGATAAATGAATCCATTGGCAGTAGCCAGGACCAGTGCATATTAACCCCACCTCCCAAGTAAGGGTAGGAGCCTGATTGGTGATTCTGGGCAGTTCATTATGACCCTCACTATGTTACCAACATTTGCTTTTTTTTTGTTTATATATGTTACATTTTCATACAACAAAAATGGTTGTAATTAGTAATGACTAGCTTACATGAGCAGAATATGGGACTAAGCACAACTGCCTTGTATTTGTTTTTTGTATGAATAATTCATGAATTTGTAATATATATATATATATATATATATACCAGTTTACCTGTGCCATCAGAAACAGCAGCATATTTTGTTAGGTTCTTACTGTTTTTACATGTGAGTTTTTAAATTTTTTTTAAAATTATTTTTATATTCTGCTCTTTCACAGTTTTCTTTTTACATTCCAGCTTTGTAAACATCTTTAAACAATCCACTATTTTCATAACAAAGACACTGCCACATTGCACTCCCAAAGCAAGGGAGATAACACATGTGATATTCCTTGCATTGGTGACATTAAAAGTTATATATGTTACAAATAAAAAAATATATTAATGAAGAGAGGCTAAAACTGCTTGTTTATTGTGTCAATATTTTTTTTAAAAATTCAATAATATCAAACACTGATACTGTGATAGGTTAATGAACAACTTCAGCAGGTAACTATCATACTTTTGATGAGAGCTGTCTTTTCGTTGTGAGCCTACATCTGGATTATAGGAAACATGAGCACAATGTCATCCAATCAAGATCATATAGACATACAAACTTATATATGTTTATTTTTTATTACTTTAAACATATTTAGAGAACACACATGTTTGAGTAAACATCATTCCTATTTTTATAAGCAGTGTAAGTTTTACATCTACTGGCCTGAGAGTCTCTATATAGAAAATGTTTCGCCTATAAAGGGGACACATTAAGAAATAATGCTGGATAATGCACATTCCAGCATATTTTTCCTCACTGCTCAAAAATATTTCTGGAACATTTTAATATGGATTTTGCCCAAGGCTTCTAGCATTTTTGTTTCAATGTGCCAAGATCTCAAAAACCATTTCCTTTTCAGGTTATGTTTCATACAAGAAAACAAAGAGTTATATAGTGGGAGTGTATGGATTGAGGACATGTTTTATTTTATTTTTTTCCCCCAAAAATGTTTGATGCTCAAGGCCATATAGGAGTGAGCAGGGAAGTGTTGTAATGAAGGATTCAATCAATATAACTACATTTTTTGGTGTATTTTTTAAAAATTCTTTCTCTGTCCACTTTCACACAATCTTTTCAAAACCTTCAAATAAACCTTTTAATTCATTATCTCTATAGGAGGAACAAATTCTTTGTGTACAAACCCATATGCATAAAAAAAACCAAATCAACATATTCTTGACATCAGAGACATTGAACCTTTTTGGGTTTTCATGAATTTACTATTTGCCATTGACATGATACTTACTTTTAGAAGTACTGAGAAAATAAAAAATCTGAATCATTTTCAGTTTTGTTCCCCTACCTCATGGCACATAGTCTAGTAATAATTTCTTTCTTTCTTTTTTATCCCCTCTGAATAAACAGCAAACAAAGCACACAATTTGTGGAAACATGTTTCATTTTCAGTTCTTCTGTTAGCATATGTTGGTATGAACTCAAAGACAAATTAATAGTCTCAAATATCTCACCAATGGCTTAATGAGGATATTCATGGATTTTATGACAAAATTTTCAAGATTTTTATCATTTTTGGTTTGTTGATCAGGAAGATTCTGATTAGTTTTCAAATAATATTTCCCCTATTAGTAATTAAAATACCACTTTTATATTCATGTTTTCACCAAAGTCTCTTCCTTATTAGATTTCCAAATACATTACAATAGTTTCAGCTGCAGTTTTACCCAAAAGAAGACAACAGACATGCATTTTATTAGTCATCATGAGAATCACTAAATGGTTTTGCATCTCTGAAAACAAAATTTACAGGAAATAAATCAATCAATAATCACAATCATTGAAACCACTGGAGTCTTCAAAGGTACTATTGTGTTCAGCATTATAAAATGTTACAAAATATACAGCTGTGTTTGGAAGGTTACATATTCACTATGAACCCTATTGTTCAATGAGCTAACCTCTGACTAACACATGAAATAATCAACTACCACAGAGGTTCCTGAGAGACTGACATGGCACTACAAGGTGTTGTCCATAAATACATAAAATAAAAAATAATAATAATTATAATGTCACTGTGTTGTGTCCAAATAAATAAATAACAATTAAACTGTCAAAAATAATTATAACAATTATAATTATCATTAATTCACTCTTTCTAAACCAATGAGAATTGACCCTACTTTTCTTTTCTACACACACAAACACGTAACATTCTCACTATTGGGCAGGGAGTCAACATGAAGAGGCCATTAAAATGTGCATCATTGAAAACTTTGGCTCCTTTTCCTTTTTTAGACCATAATAGTAACATTTATCTCTTAGCACTCAACAAAAATTTGAAGTAAGAAAACCCCAGACTTCCAAATATGTTATCTGAACACTCATTACATACATCATTAAAAAACCTTACAAGAAAGACTGTATACATTTATTCTTTATCTTATCATTTTATCAGATTCTGATCTATATTTGATCTACATTTAACCCCAAACTCACAATTTTACTGAATATTACTGTCTCTGGTGTCTCCAACACCACATAACAACCAGATAATAAATAATATTCATTTTGTTGTTTCCACATCTTGTTGTTTCTCATTTTTATGACTATTTTTGTCTATATAAATGCATTACATATTATTTACTTGGAGTTATAACTCCTTTTGGTGATCTCCAACTACAGTCATCAGTCTTTTTACTGTGGAAAAATCTGTTTTGCATGAACATCACTGGCCACCAGTGATCTTTGATAAATGTTGAGTCCTCTCCAACACTCTTGTTCATAGGGCTAAGCTATGATGATAATAAATATAGGAAATTTGTAAATATTAAAATGTATAATTAGTCATTTTAAGTCAAAATTACAGTAAAAATTAAAGAGATTATACTTCCAGAATTGTTTGTTAAAACTTTTGAGTTGAGGAGTTACTATTATTATATGCCTTTCCATCCAGACTAGTATTCTAATCTTGGTTGTTAGACTTATAGTATTTCAACCATTGTATCTACCATCAGCTGAAACACTGTGAGTCTACTAACCAAAATGAGAACACTAGTCTGAATGAAAAGGCATATTTTCAGTGCCATTCATCAGAATGTAAGATATCAAATTGGTAGATGAAAGTAGTTCAAAGTGCATTCAAAATGCCTGAGTTTATTTTTTCCACCAAAATTAATGAAATATGGGCAAATCCTTTGGGTGGGAGGTGATATCACTCTTCCTGCATATACATGAACATTTTCATATGAATAGTCCATGTCAGTCCCTGGCTGTTATGTCTAGAGTACAGATGTGTAGTATGGTAGTAGCTGGATTTTTGTTTTCATACAAGATGTCCTAATGCATTGAACAGAGATATTGCATCAAGTTTTGGCAAATGATAGGTGATACTAAAGCTCAAACCATCCAGAAGATCCAGCAGGCCTTTGGTGATGATTCCATAGGAAAAACTCAGATCAATGAGTAGTACAATCACTTCAAACATGGCCACATTTCAGTGGAGAGCAATGTACAGTCAGACAGGCTATCTAAAAGTCAAAGTGTGACTAAGCAAATAAGTGCATTCCATTTTAATGGAAGATTTGTGCATGTGAAGTGTGTTGGCAAAATTTGTTCCCAAGATGCTGGCCGAGCATAATATTGAAATTGCATGGTTTTCAGATTGGGTAAGAGCCAGAAGTCACACGGTGCCAAGTCAGAATAAGTGGTGTGTTGTTCTTGAGCAGGAAAGTTTGGTGCAATTTCCCTGTTCTGCATTCAATCACCTTGCATGAAAATGAAAACCTGACAAGAGTGCACTATGCATCTCTACTCTAGATGTAACTACTGGGAACTGACTTGGTCTACTGGAATGAAAATGTTCATGCATATGCAGAAAGGGTAGCATTGCCTCCCATCCAAAGGATTTTACTCATATGGCATTAGTTTTGAAAAAATAAAGTCTGATACTTTTTGAACACACCTTGATTTTGCAAAAAACAAAATGTGGAAATTCTTTCAATGAAATAAGAAATAAAGATAGTTGTTGATTTACTATATATATCTATATATATAGTAAATCAACAACTATCTTTATAAGGTTAAAACTGTAAGTTCATATCTAATCTTATCCACATTATAATATCAACACCTTTTCTCTTATTTCTGTCTTGTCCGTTAATTGAAGTAGTTGTCAGAAGGAAATATGTGTAACCTTTTATCAGTTTCATACTTTCTTTGTGAATTATTCATGTATATCATTATCACATTTGCATGTTTCTGTATTTCGGAGCATTCCTTCAGTGTGTCACTTGTTCTTTTTCTTGGCATTTTACATTTTTTCTCTCACTCTCTTGGCTTTTCCTGCAAGTATGATTCCCCACTCCTTTGTCATCTCCATTTCTGTCTTATATATTTGTCCTTTCTTGTATCATATTTGTGTTCTTTATTTTTTTAGTATATTTGTTGTTGCATTTATTCTATCTTTTCTGTATGCTTTCTCATTCTCTTGTCTTTCATCATTCAATTACGTGTTTCTCATTCAAGTAACTTACCTTCTTCACCCACTTATGTGATAGTCCCTTCTCCACTACCAGCATTGTGAATATTCCCTGCACAAAAAAGATTCAAAGATACCTAATTAGTTGATGTTTGTATTATTTTTTTCATTTCTTTTTAAACAAGCATATGGGGATTTATATTGATTTTTTTTTTTTATATCAAGAATTATGTCTTAATATTTGTACCAGTATGTTTATCTTGGTTGTTATACTCTTGGTGTTTCAGCCAATATACCCTCCAGCTTTCTTCAGGTGTCTGTCATCACACTCAGTAAACTTCTTGGAATTCTGAACATAACTTTTTATTCAATTCTTGATGGTACATTATTCTCATTCTGCTTTCCATGCTTGGGTGAGATAACTCCTATCAATTAACATTCTCATTTCATTTTTCTATCACTTATCTGTTTCTTCCACTGAACCAGAATATGTAACTCCAACAGATACATGGCCTGGTGGATTAAAGCTTAAAACATTGCGAGTTCAATCCTTAAGCCAGTTAGTCACATACTCTGGTTCAGTGTAAGAAACAGACAAGGATTAACTGATATGAAATATCTTCAAAGATTGAAAAGCAGAATGAGAACAACCTACCACTATAGATTGAATAAAGGGTTCCATTCAAGATTCTGAAAAGGTTATCCAGTACAATGACAGGTACCTGAAGAAGACTGGAATGACCAAAATATTTTAAGTATGCTGGTCTGAATTGTAAAGCCTATAAGGCATCTGGGGCTGTCATGAAATAATGAAATATTAGTTTTAGTAAATATTAGTACAAACAAAGCATAAATAAGTACAATATATGGGGACCAGGAATATATGGCAAAATATGACCCAAACCTAAAAAAACAACATTCATGGCGATATCTGGAAATGGTCATTCCCTTAGCCCTTGTAAAAGACTTCAAAACTTCTGTCTGACTCTCCTAGGACACTATAAGATTTGAGAGACAAAGCAATCACCAAATTCAATCAATTAGTTGTTACTTGGAGTGCAGAAGTGTCCAAAAAATTAGTTTTGAAAGACAAGTTGACAAACCAAGACAAGTTACCAAAATATTGACATGATGTAATGAACTGAATATACTCTTTGTGTATGTTAAAGCAGCAGAAATATTCTTATATTCCAAAAAACATATTTTAATCAAATAATTACCAAAAAATGTTCAAGTGTATGTAAAATGCATATTAATTTTCTTGTTAATCATTTTTTATTATGAAGTGCTTATTTGATTTTAATATCTTGATGATTTTAATATCTTCTAATATTTTTTAATAGTGAGAAAGCAATTGCTGCAACTGGAAACCAAGGGGCACAGGCTGCTGCAGATTGGTAAGTAAAAATCAGTTTAGAAAACAAATATAATTCCTTAACTTTAAAAGTAATAACACACTAATTTACCTGGGATATATTTACTGTCAGGGCCATTTACAAAGTTATCTAACGACAAATTAGAATTTGATTTCTGGTTAAGATCTGAAGGTAAATATTTCTGTAATTGGCTTGAATATGGTCTGTTAATATATTGATATTAGATTATGACTGGAGTTATCTTTTTCAGAAATAACATTATGGTTAAATGCGTATCTAAATTATTAAAACTGAACAAATTTATTCAACTTACCTTCTATTTATGTGGGGAAGAGAAAAGAATTGACAGAAATCAAAAATATTTGTTTTATAATGCAGTACAATGTTTTTTTTAGTTTTTTTTTTATCAAAGTATATTTTTTTCCTTTTGCCTCACTGAAATAAGTGTCACATTCTCAAAATAAATAACTTTTGATTCTGATTTAAAATAATCAACTATTTAAAAAACTATTTTCCATACATTTTTATTTCATCAAAAATAGGCATTTATATAATCGCAAAACCCTTCATCAGTAAGTCATTTTGACACTTCTTTTAGCAGATTGACAATATTCTGAGTTAGAATAATATAATACAACTATAGTCTATCTTGTAAAAGAATATTGCAAAATCATTATCTCAACAAGAATTGAGTTCTTCAGGTCCCCAACCCAGAAGAAACCTGTTCATCCACACTTGAACACTGTAGCATTATTGGAAGAAATCTACTTATGGTGAAACTCTCTAAAATACCCAGTAACTACATATTATATTAACTTCTCAGTCATTGTCTTATTGTAACTACCCAACAATTTCCCAACTCTATAATCATCAAGAATCAAACTAGAGTTATGACAGTGTTGTCTCTACTGCTGTGACAAGATTAAATTGCAATTACAGTATTTTTGATTGGTCCAGTTGCCATCAATAAAGTTTGACTGCATGTGTGTGTGTGTGATTAATTTTTTTTTTTGTTTTTGTGGTATAAGTGGGAACAAGCTTTGATAGCTCATGAGTAGAAAAATACAGGAAATGGTTGGATATGGTAAAGTATCATGAACTAAATTATTGGCTACTATTTAGAATCAACATCACTGAAGTGTGATCCAGGTCTCAAGTTTTACAAGTTGTTTTTCCATCCTTACATTTATACACTCACAAAAATTGAATGATGTCATCTATTCTCTCACAGATTAGCAAACCTAGAGTATGGTGTGATGAGAAAGGCTGGGAATCACAAATGCCAACAACCTAACCCTAATTCAAAACCAATGAACAAAATAACATTCAGATTTTTGTAAGTGGGAAAGGAAGAACTTTTTTTTATACTCTTTTTACCTTTTTTTTTTTTTTTTTGCCTTTTTCCTCTTGACTATCAACAAAGATAGTTCTCAGATAATCAATTTTCTGATGGCTCTTTCCCTTTTGTACCCATTTCACCTTTTCTCTCATTACCACTCTTCCCATTTTTATAGATCCTTGTTTCCCTATTTTCTGCTTCTTTCAATGCAATCAAGTCATTTATATCTCTACACTCCCACCTTTACATCCCCCTCTGCTCTATCATTCACTGTTGCAGTTTTTTAAAACTTTTTTCATCCACATTTTGAGCTTAAAACTAGGACAAAATATCACTCTAGAGTGAGGTTTGTTTTTGTGCTGCATATGCATACATATGAATATGTAAATAGGCTAAAAATAACACTCCTGAACCACCCTTTATCTAACCAAGTGTATTTTCACTTTAATTATATTAAAATTATGTAGCAGCTTTTCATGAGGATTTCCAGGTGAATCTATATCCATCAGCTAACTTCTAATAAGAGTTCTTTTTCTTACACATTGCCTCAAAGAACAGGAAGGATTCTTAAGCTCTCATAGTTGGTCTGTATTTATCTGCATCAAGAACTCTCAGCTGATAGCCTTAATGCTTAAAACATTAGAGCTACCATCATAGTTCTGTCATTACCGCAGGATGTTTTCATCGGTACAGTGCATTCCTTATTGTATTCAACAAAGGAACAAATACAAATGGTCATATAACTACTAAGGGGTGGAGTGCTGAAAATTTCTTGAACTGACCCACTTCCCAAAAAGTCTATGATCAAATGACAAAACATATAATTAAGTATTTTTTTTTTGCTTGGTCTGAGGAGTTTTCAGCACCCACTTGTAATGTCTAATGACACCTGCTCACTTTGAAATGTGCTATTATAACTGATACTATAATTTCAATGAAACTGTAGTAGTTTTATTATTATTATAAATTACTATTGATTATTGCAAGTATGAAAGCTGATGTTCCAATTACCTAAAAATAGTTTATATGCCATCCACAATTCTACTTCTCTAAATTTATTAAAAAAGGATACTGTGTCTAATAATAGCAGTGCTAGTCCCATTTTTTCATCAATATTAATGTAAATACTATTAGTACTACTATTTCATATTCTTCCGAATAGATATTACGATTAAAATTTTTTACATCTACAACCAGAATTATCTGACTTTCCTTTATTGTTACTGATAAAAACTGCAATGTATTCTGTTCTTGTTATAATTACAGTTGCTAACTCATAGCTTATTCTACCATATAATATTCAACCACATTTACCATATAGTTTAACTTTTATCTTAATGGTATGTCAAGTTTTATTTAATAATAATAATAATAATGGCCAGTTACTTGTTTGCTAATGGCCAGTTACTTTCCAAGCACACCCATCTGCTGGGGTGACTAGCCTATTCCTATTGCAGACACATGCTCAGGCACATTTTTTGTTTGTTCAACACCTGCAATTATTCTGAACAGACCGTAGTTACGATTTCTGGGAGAGGACTCATCATCTATTGTGACAACAGTTTGAACAAAACCAGTACTCAAACCTTGGTCACAGTAACTTGTGATTTTGTGCTAGTACAACAATTGATGGCCTTCCAACAGTTCTATGCTCCCAATTTCATTCACATTCATGGCATAGTTTTCAGGTACTTTCCAAAAGTGTCACATACTGGAATCACCTCCCCAGACCAATAACAATAACATCAAGTCACAAATTGACAATGGTGAGATTCAAATCTGGGTCTCATGGTTGTAAAACGACTGTTTTAATCACTTGGTAGGGGCATAATGAGGAAAAGTGCTGCCTGTGACCGGTCTTCATAATGGCACCCACACCTTTTTATTTTTTATTTTTATTTTTTATTTTTTTTTTTTGAGGAAAAATATAAATAATATACCCTTAATGGCATTGATTAGTACTTGAAAAACAACAAATTCAAAAATTAGCTGAACAAACGTTATCATATTTTAACCTTTCGAGCTTTTGCAGAAGCAAAGTTACTAATGACTTGGTCAAAGTCTATCTTCTTGACAGTTTCATTTCAATTGAAATGAGGGACAAATGGGATAAGCAATCTTGCAACATACTCAATCTCTAGTGACTTTTAATGAGCTTCAGTTTTAAGAAGCTTCTCTCTGCAGTAACAACAAAAACTGTGTGTCAAAAACAGCTGTAGAGTAATCACAATATTTGGCACTGTTTCTTGAACTTGCCATTGATAAATCCATCTAAGACATTCAATAGCCAATGATTTAGTCATCATGGTCATTTCACATTCCACTTTGGAAGCTGCCACTAAAAAGTCCCAAAGTCAGGGAACTTCCAAAGACAGCCTAGATACATCTAAGTCAGCATGGTATTTGCTACCAAGAATTTTAAATTTTCACTCCAACTCGCCTTCAGTATCTTCCAGGATTGCTTGTGATGAAATCCAGCAAAAATATGAATTTAAATTGTGCTTTCAGTTCATTTACAAGTTGATCATGACATTCATAAAGATTTCTCTTTACTTCCTGCACAAGTGTTTGACATACATCATCTTCCTTTTCCCCAGGTAGCTTTCTCTTTCTTCTAATGCACATTTCAACTGGAATTTCCATTTCCCCGCACTTTGTTTTGCTTTGATTAACCAATTCAGACACCAGCCTGTCCCTGTTTCAATTACAGAACATTTTGATCACATCCAAACCAATACCAGGTTCTTGAAGTTTCTTTTGGATGAGATTTATTTGTCCCAGAATTTCTTCTCAGTAAAACAAATGTGACATGAAGGAGAAGTTTTCAATTGAAAGCATTATGATTTGTGCATCCCCTCTGATTTTCTGAAGCTGAGGTTAATGAATTAGATGCCTGAATCACTACTTGAAATCTGGTTTTCACTGCATGAATAGCTTTGTAAAGTGCACTCCAATGGGTGGTTACCACACGCTTCCTCATGACTTTCACATCTGAAGATAAAACTTCCCACTGGTGATTGGAAAAGGTGAAAAATGTATAGAGTCTCTCAATCACTCTGAAAAATGTAATGGCATGAACACTGCATAAATTAAGACTATGATTAGAACATGGCACAAATTTAGCTTTCCCATTTATTTTTCATAGATGTTGAACACCACTATGAACTGCAGCCATACTAGCCGCATTGTCAAATCCTATCCCTCTACATTTTTTTTAATCAAGTTTCTCTTTCTCCAATCCAAAACCATCTTCTTGATATCATAAGTTGTCTTTGCATGCTCAGTGATAAAACCAAGAAATGATTCCTGCATCTCTACTTCTTTGTCTTCAACAATGACATATTGATAAATGAAACTCATTTGATCAGTATGAGAAATGTCCGACGTGCTGTCTAGTATGACTGCAAAATAATTGGCTTTTCAAATTTGATCCAATATATTTTTGTTACATGATTTCCCAAGATATGAATGAATTCATTTTGGGTTTTCAGTGACAAGTACCACCAGCTATCATTTACTTCTTTCAAGTAATACTTTCCAAGAACAGGATCATATTTGCTCATAAGTTCAACAAGTTTTATAAAGTGACCTTTATTGGAACTATATACATTTTCTCGATGATCTCTAAAAGGCAGGTTCTGTTTCATCAGAATCTTCACAACATCAAGTAACTGTATTAAAG